GGCAAATGGCCCCCCTCCCCCCCCCCTTTTTTTTAAACAGTGCCACCTCACAAGCACACACATCCACTGCCCCCCAGAAGAACAGCTCTTTACCTCGCCGCTCACACCGGCCCACCACCAGCTGGGATGTTTACTGTAAATATGTATCTGCTAACTGGATTATTCATCAGCTTATTTCTCATGCTCAGAGTTGGCTTTATTGACTGGAGTCATACATAAGTACCAACCTCTGATGCATTGCTTATTGTGATGCAAATTAGGAGCACTCGGTGCACTTGAGAGCGCTACTCTGGCCTCACAATATTCATGTAGGAAAACAAATGGAAGATTAAAAAAAATCAAAACAGCTGTTGAGCAATGCAAAGGGCTCCATAAAAGTTGACCTCACTGTAAAGTAGCCCCATTTGATATCTTATTGCCTGCTCCTTAAATGCCACGCAGGCCTGCTGAAGGAGCAAGGCCGCCAGAAACACTGAAACACATTCATTATAGGGTTCTGAGGAGAGAAAAGACCTGCTATGTGTGTTACAGCAATGTGTTGTCACTGAGAAAAAGACATGTTGTTGCTGCAATCTGTTCAACCAAACACAGTGATGTTTTCCCCAGTAGCTGTGATACACACAGTTCCATCCCCATCAATAACCCAGTGTGTTTGTCATTATTGCCAGAGGGGCGTGTGTGTGTGTGTGTGTGTATGTGTGTGTGTGTGTGTGTGTGCGCAGAGCAGTCGCCACTGATGAGTTTCCATGACAACGGAGCCATTGTCCAGCAGCTTGTAGTTTTAAGCAAAGGCACAGAAGTGAAACTATTAGCACCGGAGAGTCAAATATGAGAGGCTGCCCTTTGCTTCAGCAAAGTATGTTTTCACAAGAAGTCTCATTGCACAGAGCTGGTTTTTGTCTACAACCTCATCAACATAAATTCAGTCTCTATTGTCTGTCCACTTTCATTATTTACTTCAAAGCACTGATGGAAAAACCATGCTTTTCATAGTAGCTGGCTGACATTTGTAATTTATTGCTGTTTCTTAGGGTCTCAGAGGATACAATGCAGACAGTGAGTCTGTCCACATCACAAACAGGTGCCCGGCCGAGCATGACTCCCAGTAAATTGCAAGTGTCATAACACACCAGGATATTTTTTACAAGTGTCTAAAGTGCCCATCTTCACCACAGCACGGGCCCAGAAATAGTTTAATCATTTATGACAGCTGAATATCTCAAGATATGTGGGCTGTGGCGAACTTAACATTAAGGCTTGAAAAGTGAGAATGAAAACATGCTCACCAATCCACACAGTAAAGTGCAAACACCTGAAAAGCACCTGTTCCAACACCAAAACAGGCTTTACAAAGGAAATAAAAGTATCTAGTGTAAAATGCTGTGGTGTGCTGAGGGAAGAAGAAACAAAACGGATCCAGAAACCTTTATGTAAATCAATACATAATCTTACTGCTACAATACACAAACGATGATCCTGTCAAGGGAAACTACATAAAGGACATCTCAGAATAGATGTTTAATGACCAAATGACCAAATGAGTGGTTTGGAGGTGACAATAAAGTCTTTGATTTTGTTCCCCTCTCACAGCACAAGTGTGACCTCTGATTTTCATTTTTATGTGTGGTGTCTTCGCTTTACCTGCCACTGCAACACATCTGCTGTGTCCGCTGTATCTTTGAAGCGACTGCCTGAGCTTATGACTGACCTGTTTTTAATTTTGCAGCTTACTGCAAAAAATCTGGCTTTGACATAGATTTTCAAATGATAAGATCTTACTAAATGCATGGCCAACATACATGATGTTCATTCTGTATTCTACAGAAAAAAACAGTGTTTAGCACTGAATTGCACATATATGATACCAGCAGTATGCATTCGGCGGGTTTGATGAAGCTAATTTTTCTCTAAAAACATTCTGATAGTTGAGTTTTGTTTTAACAGGGGATTCTGGAGGGAATTCTGGGGATTTAGCAGAAGAGTTCGGTGAGGCCATGGAGAAGGACTATCGGTCGGCCTCGAAGAGATTCTGGCAAACTGTCCGGCGCCTCAGGAGGGGGAAGCAGTGCCCTGCCAAAACTGTTTGCAGTGGAGGTGGGGCAGCTGTTGACCTC